AGGGTCTGAGGGGCCGCAGGTGAGGGTGTAAGGGAGCGTAGGTGAGAGGTCTGAGGGCGCAGGTGGGGGTCTGAGGGGCCACAGGTGAGGGTCTGAGGGCGCAGGCGAGGGTGTAAGGGAGCGTAGATGAGGAATCTGGGGGGCCGCAGGTGAGGGTCTGGGGGCGCAGGCGAGAGTGTAAGGGAGCGTAGGTGAGGGATCTGAGGGGCCGCAGGTGGGGGTTCAGAGGAGCAGCAAGTGCAGATCTGAGGGGACGCAGGTGGGCGGGTTGCCCGCTGCATCAGCTCGCGTTCGCTGGGTCTGATTGCTCTGGCTGGACGTCCAGGCCCAGGAGCGGCTGAGGGTCCGCAGGGCATGCAGCTTCCAGGTCGCGTGGCAGGGTGACAACACTTGCTGGGTGCCTTTCCATTCTATTTCTGAACTGCTTAGGTTTTTAGTCTGTAAACTGTAGGTATCTTAGCGGGTCCGGGAGTTAGTGCCGTGCTCCTAGCGGTCGCAGAGCACAGAGCTCCTTGGCCTGGTTAGCCTCGGCCTCATTCTCCCCCTCCCCCCATTGACATTTCACTTCTCCCTGGGCCCAGTTTCAGAACTTGCGATGTAAACCTTGGAATCTAGCATGTACAGAGTTCTAGTTTTTATTCTCCCTTGCTCGGCAGGCGGGTGTGCTGATTCCTGTCTTCCAGGCCGGTTCTGAGCGCAAGCGCTGGTCCCAGCACAGAGAAGCCCCTCCATCGGGGGCGCAGGGCTGGGGCCACGGGGCTGGGGGCCGATTCGCGTCTGCCCCTTCTTTCTGACCTGAGAGGTCAGAGTCTGACCACGGGAATAGGATGGGAAAGGACAAGCAGCCTTCCGTCTCCCCAGTGCAGCCTTTGGCTTCTTTTTACTTAAATGAAGCAAATCTTTGATTAACCATGCTCAACTCATGGGCGTCTCCATTTAAATGAAATTTTTCTTTATGTATTTCACATAAGGAGACAACGAAAAGTTTTTACTGTTTTACCAAATGACTAACTTCTAGAGGAAGAATGGAGTGGCAAACACACTCATCTGGGTGTCTACTCCTAATCCAGCACTTTAGCAGGCATTGCTAATCTGTTATATGATTCTTACATTATTTCTCAACCCTGCTCCAGACAGCCATCATTGATTAAGTGGGTTTGGTCAGGTTTGCAAGTGTGCCCTAGGGTTAATCACACTGAATTATCTCTTGGACTTTCAGTATCATTTTCTAAAATTAGATCATCTTAATAATCATACTTAAAGAGAAAAAGTAAGTAATGGAGTAGAACAAATACTCCATCATACTTGCTACTCCATCACACTTTGCTTAGTGATAACTAAAGCAAAATGCACAATATCATTCATTCACTCATTCACCATTTAGCAAACATACATACTAGACTTTGGAGACCTTAGACTAGGTCTTATGGAAACTGAATCCCAATCCTTAAACCTGTGGTGGAAGGTGATAAATAAAAATTGATAGTGTAACAGGTGTGTGCAGAGCCTGCATCATGTTGTTAATTTCTCCTTCTAGAGACCCCTGTCCTCATAAGCTGCAGAGAATCTTAACTGTCTACAAAAAAAGGTTAAATTTCTTAGATTGGCATTCAATATCTTCAACAATAATTACTTTCCAGTAGTGTATATTCTTGTATAATTGAACTACTTTGTTTTTGCTGTATAACTCCCTTGAATTCCTTTCTCACTGTCTTTTTCTTTACCTGTAATGCTCACCTTCCCTACTTCTGACATTTTTCTTTTTTCCAGTTACAATATATTTAAATCTTACGATTATTCAAATTCTGTGCACCTCATAAAGCTTCTATTTATTATCCCTATTTATATTAGTTTTCTAGGGGTGCTATAATAAATTATCAGAAACTTGGTGGCTTGAAACAATAGTTTATAGTTATTGGGGATAGAAATATGAGATCATTTTCACTAGGCCAAAAACACTCAAAATTGAGTTGTAGACAGGACCATGTTTCCTCCAGAGGATTTAGAGGAAAATCCATTCCTTCCTCTTTCAGATTTTGCCAGCATTTGGTGACTGTGGGCATACCTTTGGCTTATGATGCATCACTCCATTCTCTGCCTCCATTTTCACATTATTGCTTTCACTTCTGGTGTGTATAAATTCCTTTGTCTCTTTCTGAGAAAGATACATGTAATTGCATTTAGGGTCCACCCCTGACCCTTAGTAATATCTGTTACAGTGTTTAAAATATATATAAAATAAATACATATATAAAATAAATTTATATATTTATTGGAATCCTGAAGGAATTGCTTTCAGAATATATATATGTATATATATATATATTCAGATCCTGAATGCCAGTCTAAGAAATTTAACCTTTTTTCTGTAGACAGCTAAGATTCTCTGCAGCTTATGAGGACAGGGGTCTCTAGAAGGAGAAATTAACAACATGATACATGCTCTGCACATATCTGTCACACTATCAATTTTTATTTTATCACCTATCTCTATACATATATATATAGAGTATATATTGTTGTTATATGTATGTATAGTCATGTTATAGGGATATCAAGTCCAGACACAGTCTATCAGAAGATGAAGGTGATCCCTCATGATCAGCTGGTGAAGGAAAAAATCCCACATTTGATTCATGGATGGGTTGGTTTGATATTGTGGTTGTACTACAGCCCCACTTGTGTGACCTTGAAAGAGAGGTAATCAGGGTATATCATCCCCATAAGGAGATCTTTGAGATGTGCACTTTATCATCCATTTTGTGTAGCAAAAGAAATAGCCAAGGTTAGAATGGACTTGAGCAGGAGGGAATAGCCTGACTGGTTGCAAAAGGATGAGAGGGATCTAGAGTGGTGAAGGTAATAAATGAGTGTCAATTATAGTTCAAGCATTGCTATGGGATTGGGGGTTATAGTTTGTCCCATTTACCTTTTTTTAATTAATTATTTATTTTTTTGAGACAGAGTTTCACTCTGTAGCCCTGGATAGAATGCCACCATAGTGTCATAGCTCATAGCAACCTCAAACTCCTGCGTTTGAGCAATCCTATTACTTCAGCCTCCCAAATAGCTGGGACTACAGGCACCTGCCACAGTACCTGGCTAGTTTTTCTACATTTAGTAAAGATGGGGTCTCTGTTGCTCAGGCTGGTCTTGAACTCATGAGCTCGAGGGATCCACTTGCCTTGGCCTCCTAGAGTGTTAGGATTATAGGTGTGAACCACCATGCCCTAGCCTCCATATACCTTTCTTTTCTGAGATTCCCCCAGGAAGAGATGTTCCCTGGAATCCTGAAAGAGTTGCTTTCATAATTTAAACAAAGAAGTGGATCCAAGTAGCACAAGGGTTGGACTTTGGTGGACACTGATGTACCACAAGAGGTAATCTTCAGGAATGAAAGATTTACTTTCCTCTTCTACTGACGGTACTACCAACAAAGAGCTCAGCTCTCAGCCTATATTGTGTGTGTGTATATATGTATGTGTATATATATGTATATATATATTTTTCCTCCCCCCATCCGCTTTGCCCAGTGGTAAGATAGGATTTTATTAGAAAAGAATACAGAAGGAGTAAAAAGCATCAGAGCTTCTGGCACAAAGGGGAAGACCCAAGTCAAAGTCTCCTTGTACTGTATATTTTAAAAACTTCATATTTTTCTGATTCCTCAATACCTCCCAAAACAGGCTATGAACACCATGTCTAGGCGACCAGGTATACCAGTCTGATAAGGCTAGTCCTATATAATTTTCCCTTCTTGCCCTGTCCTGACTGTGACCTAATGACATTCAAACACACTGATTGAATCCCCTCATGCTTTTTGCTTGTGTATTCCACCCTGACCCCTAGTAAAGGCATTTGTCTGTGGCTCCTCAGTTTCTCTCTGGATCCTTGCCTGCTTGTCTGAGATTGTTCCCTTGGTGCTGTTCCCATATAGTCCCATATGGTGTGTGGTGACTTACTCTCTTCCGGGACCTGTGAGTATAATAAATTATTGTCACATACAACTGTGATGTTATTTTATGTCTGCATCAGACTGATCACCAAAAAATATCCCATTTTAAAGTAATACAATGGTTTCTTACAACACATAGCCTCTGCTTG